CGTTAACCAGTAGGAAAGGAGGGAAGAAATTGCGATGGCATCCCACCTCCACTAACATCTGCGCCTAGTTAAGACAAGCGCAGAGCTAATCAATAAGCACATGACGAATTCACTGCTCTACCAATCAAAGCATTGAGTTCATTTTCATAGGGCTCACTTTCGCAAACACAGACTGAATTAAAGACCCAAAAAGACTTTCTTAGAAATGGTGCATAGTTCGAGCTTAATTATAGGCAAGTTCGTAATTCCTGCACACAAATTTTACAGTAGACGCAATAAGTAGAAAAATGATAGTGCGTAAAAAAGGGAAGGTGACACAAAGCACAATAGAAATGATCAAGTTTTCCTCATGTAAAGTCAAGGAGAAAACTACAGGAGGAGGCAATAGAGAGCAAGGGCGATATTGAGAAAAACCAAACCGGTGCCCATCCATAATGCAGTGGAGAAGATAAGGCGTCGAATCTGCCGCGAGCACACGCACGATGGAAGCGCCAGGTCTAGTAGCGACTTAAAGATGCCCTGACCGTCCAGAGCATAGCATGGGACCACGTTGAACATTACCAGCGCTCCCGACAGGGAGAAGAGATACCTAAAAATCCAATTTCACAAACCACGCCGTAAAGGGGAAAAGTAGGGACTTAATGCATCTTACATTATTTAATGGGCATTGCTTTGGCAAAATGATAGATAAAATCACAGAAAACTACTTGTATGGGGTTTTCTTCACTATCATGTCATCTAACAATTTATATGATGAAGAGAAAGTTGCAGAACATTCGAAAACAAAGAAGATGAAGACATTTTGAAGCTATGGCAAATCCATAAAAAGACGAATCAGATTTAAATAGTAGTTTCCACGACTTAACCTTTGATGCATTCATTCGACAAAAAAGTCGACGTGTTTCCTCGATACGAAACGAAAGTAGATGAATACAAAACCCAAGGTGTTTTAATCAAAAGACAAGCCAAATACCTCATCAGAACCCTTACTCACACACACCACTCCCGGATTCAGCATGTCTGTCCCAGATTTCACACCTCATCAGTTGAAGCACTAATTAAAGTAATAAATATGCCTAATGTGTAAACGGTGTGAGACTAAACGCAATACCTTTGAGTGCAATGACTTAAACAAAAGCATCCTCCGTGAACTACGATTGTTTATTTCCTTCGAACCTCTGACGATGAAGCGCAAGCAGACAAGCTCAAAGCGAACAAAGGTATTGAGTCGATGAGCTAGTTTCAGGAGTGACGTCTAACCTGCAGAAGGTAGCGATGATTTCGGGCAGTCGACAAGGCGTGATTTGAGGCCAGCGAGGAACGTAGTCAGAAATTTCGACAGCTGAGAATAGTTCTTCCACAGGACCAAAAAAAAGGACGGCAGGAGAGCGCGCGCGGTTATGGACTATTCTGATAAGACGAGTAGCGTTGTCAGGGGGTGCGGGCACCAAGCAAGCCGCCCACGCGCTTTCGCCAACCCCTGCCACACCCATGGGTCCAGCAGCCCCTGCAACCCGGCCACAATCTGAAGGCACACTGCATGCCTCCTTTTCTGTCACCGCCCTTGCCGGCAGACAGGCCTGTCGTGGTCTCTACAAAGCACATCGGTGGCTCTTTCACCTTCTATCAAACTATGAAATAGAGGTGAGGGAGAACACTTGCGCTGGGTATCTCCCACATTTTTGGATATGGAATTGCTTAACAGAACTCCCAAGAGTAATTTAAAAGGATCATGTAAACACAGCAAAGTGCGGTGATTACTGCAGTAATG